GATATTAAGCGAAATGTACAATATAATAAAACGGTGAAGTTACCTATTAATGTAGTAATGTGTATCACATATAATGTCTTGTGACTTCGGGTGTAGTTTGTAATTTAGTCAGATTATTTATAACGGTATAAAAAGATTTATTTTATTTATTTATTTTAAAAACGAGTATCGTGTCAAATGTGATTTGCTTTACTTTAATATGTTTAAGTATCGTGATTATTGTATTTAAATCCACATTAACTTTAGAGTGGCTTAAAATAGAATAATATGAAGAGTTTGAAGAGATATAGTTAATTAAGATTGTAACCAAATATGTTTGTGTGCTGGATACATTTATTAAACGGTCAGTTTTGTCTCATATTGTGTTTAATTTTTACCTCAAGTGTTACGGAAATTAAATAACTAATACTAGTAGGTTAGAATTACTCGTGTTGCATTTAGAATTGACGTTCGACCGACTAACAGTAAAGGAATACATGCAACCTGTACATGTCAGCGAAGAAATTCAAAGACATGTGTCAAGTTAACCAATCCGTAGAGCATCAGCGTGGTTGACTATGGTATTCACTCCTTATAGGTAGGCTCCGAGCCTCTCAGTGGGGAGACGTATAGTTAGCCAGTAATGATAAAATAAATATAGTTTTTTATGTCTCAAACCCCAGAACTTCTATTACGACCCAAGTGTTTTTCTGTATCGATTTAGTTAAATATGTCTTTTGGATAAATTTAAATAAAAAATTTAAATGCTGAAAATATCCACTACCGTATTTTTGCTTAGTAAACTCATTATTTCTAATTCAATGTAAATACATAAGTTAAAAAAACACAATAGAATATTACATAACTCATTTGACTGAAATAGTTTTTTAAAAGTTCAATAGTTTCTACAACAAAATGTTGTACATTTTTTTACCTATAGTTAAATGTTTTTCAATAATAACTAACGACGTTACCTTGAAAGGTGGACAGAGATTACGGATACGTATAATGCCGTCTGGGCACATTTTTATATCTACATATGTTTGCTCGTTAGTTTCGAGTTCTAGTTTCTCTGCAGACTTATTAAAAACTTTACCTTATTGTTTGTTATCCCTAAAACTTTCCTTTGAACGATCGAAAATTTTACAAAAACGGGAATATAATTTTGGTCGTAAAAAAAAATAGATAATAAATGTTTATTCCTAATACATTTTGCTAGTCAATTATAAACTAGTAGACTATTGTTTATGTAAGAAATATTTTAATAAATAAATAAAATAAATACAAATGCCAATAAACCTTTTTATGTTTAATTTAAAGTTATATAAGTAAGTTAAGATATTCGCATACCAAAACACAGAAGACAAAACCTAACGCGGTTAAAAATAAATTATTCTTTTGTCCGAAGACTTAATTGTTATAGAACGTCTATTTTTTTCAATAACAATACAAATTTTATGTCACCGTTACGGGTAAAAACTGCGCTTGAATATTCATGAGAGTCGCGGCCGCACACTAGATATTTAAATAGCATTATGAAGTTAAGACGAAGAAGTTATGAAAACCAAAAAAAACATATTCGAGAATTTGGCATGTATTGTTATAATGGCACATATACTTTACCTATGTAAAAAAATCAATGACGTGTTTAACATTTGATTTTAATTAATATTTCAAACGGTTCGCATAGAGCGTAGAGCGAAGGCAGCTGAGGGCTTAAACACTTCATTAACCTGCAGATCCTGGCTTTGAAACCTGCCATTTACCCACATACTTACGGTAAGGAAATACGTCATGATGCAACTTGCAAAGATCTGAAAAGAGATTCAAAAATATGTGTCAACTCATCCCAAATTAAACTAGCCTGGTCTGGCTATATCAATGAATGTAACCATAACGTTGATGTTATTAAATTATGTTTTAACTAAGAGCGTCCGTACACCTTTGACTAAACAGTTGTGCGCTTGTCGATTGTTTAGCCCGTTCAACTGTTTAATTGCACAACTACAAATCGAGTTGTGTGCGCATATCATAACAATCGAAACAAGACTAACCAATTATGCTATAGTTTATTTTAAGGTGTGCGCACGCTCTGTTTTTATTTCTTACTAGCTTTTGCCCGCGACTCTGTCCGCGTGGAATATAAAGAAATAAAAGAGTAAGTAGCCTATGTGTTCTTCCAGACTATTGTCTACATCTATACCAAATTTCATTGAAATCCGTTCAGCCGTTTAGGCTACAAACTCTAACAAACATACGTCTATCCATCCATCCATCTAAACTTTCGCATTTATAACATTAGTAAGAAGTAAGATTGATACGACCGTACGGTGCCTATACGTAGTTATTTTAAAAATAATACCGTAACTAAAGTTGTTTTTCTTAACTTGTTTATTATGCTCATAGTTTGTTTTGACTTTCAATCCCAACCTTCGTCTATGTTGTCTAAATCCATATACAAGTTTTTTTTTTTGCATTTTTTTCACAGATGAGAAAAAACACAGTAAATATATTTATTAGCAATTTTTTTGTACTGAAACTACTGGTTTTTTTACTAATAATACTTTGACATACATTAAAAATTTAATATTCTAGAATATACTATTATTGCCGAGGTACCGATTGTTTTTTTTATCCTATTTGTTTACAATGCTGAATTTACTTAACCACAATAATTGACTTTATCTGAACAAAAAATTCTAAAATTTCTCACAAAGTAACTGTTTCGTTTCTCACTTTTTGCGAGTTACAATACTAATATGTACATTACGGCAATATGTCATGGACGAATCAATAAATGGCATAATTTTAGAAAAATAGAATTTCTTCTTCATAGCTTTAATATTTTCAGGTGGTATTGTTTTAGAATTCGATTGTAATAACCATAAATTAAGTTTTTAAACGTAAGAACCGTTTCAATTATATACCCAAAGGTTTTTTATGTTTTATTTAACATTTTCCGGAAAAGTAATTAGTAGAAAATCAAAATTATTAAAGTGAATAGATAAAAATATAAAACGAAAATTTTAGAAAGTCAATACAGAAGTTGTTTCATAGTGCATATCGAGTATAATTAAACATATACCTAACTAATTCTAAATTTTCTTGCAATTTCATATACAAAGACTTTAATTTATTTAAAAATATGCCATAACATTAATTCAAAATTATTTTAATGTAAAAGTATTCAAATATTATGCGGTATTTTACTAATTTCCTAAAACTATGACACAATCATATAGGTATTTATAAATACGGTTATGTTAACGATACCTGTAACATGCTATTCTGAATTACATTGACAACTCTTTTCTATGAGTTTTACCTATCAATATAATATACATACTTTCACATGTTTGTTATTCGGCAACTATACGTCGTAGAGCAAAACTTGTAACATTATCTCATACATACATCTAAAGGTACTTTTATAGGTTTTTAAACTATCCACTTATTTTGTCATTATCTAGCGATACTTTAATGTTAGCTTGACATATGTATTAACGGAATAAAACTCAAGTTACGTAGTTCGGAAAGGCATTTCATGAGTTTATCGAACAAAACTAACGAATGATTAAGCGTAGCTGGGAAACTGGCCACTAAAGACATATTCAAATGTGTGTATGAAATAACCGACCCGCAAATAGCCATTGTCTAAGACCTAATTGAACCTAACTAAAGAAGCCCCATAATGGAGATGTACTCGTATACGAGATAATGACTATTTAAATACATCGCAAACTTATTATAGTTCTTCTGATTTAGGATGTTCTAGGTTGCCGGTGATTACTAACCCGCTGTTAACTTTATATAAAAAAATCTTTTTTTAGAACTAACTAATAACAAAATAGTGATTAATGAAATTGGCGCCAGGCTACGATTCCGTTAATTTGCGATTTTTCGCACACACCCACCAATATTCTACAATGATATATAAAAAAAAAGTGATAAATGACTCCTTTTAGAATCCCTTTTTTAACGAAGTAGGCTTGCAACCACTTTTTAACCACAAACCTAAGATCGTTTCGCCTTCCAACATTCATAGCATTGTTGTCTGTAGTTTTTTATAATTTAACTAAAATGGAATTTAAGAGAAAATTTTACTTCTAAAACTATAACGGCAACTTCAGTTATGTTTTTACAATACAAATACTTACGGTGTCATGATATTAAGGTCAAAAAAACAATTTAATTTTGTTTATTTGGTTCCACACGCTTGCTTGAAAATCTTGATAACCTAGATTCACATTTAAAAAATATACAATTACGGGCTACGCTTGATAGCTTGTTTTCAAAAGCACTCCGTGTTCCAAGTACTTTTTTTTGGTTATGGCCTATATTGTAT